CGCCCCTGCCAGCTGCTGGCAGCCCGGGTTGGGAGCTTTGACCTTGGGGCAAATAGGGATACGGTACGGTCCTTGAGGCGCGGGGAGCGAGCAGCCTGGGCGCCGGGAGCCGCGCGCCCCCTGCTGGAAGGCCGTGGGACACCTCGCTCAAGGGCGAGCGAGGAGAGTTTGGAGTTGCGTTTTGCTGTAGGCTGGCAGGGCCTCACTTAAAGTGCTCTTCTCCCCTGTCTTCCAATTCTCTTTAAAAATTTACTCAGGGGGAAGGAACTTCCTGGTTGAGTATTTATTGATTTTAAACAGCCAAAACCTCAAAAATCACTTTTCTCAGAAGTTAGGTAAAAGAATATCTTTCAGTGAGGTGAGGTTAAAACTTTCCTTGGCTGGTAAATTTCAGCCATACCTAGGAAACCATTCGAAATAGTTTAATGAAGAGGATATTTGTTTATTTACTTAGCTACTTGCAGTATTGGGGATGAAACCCGAAGCTGTACCCACTGAGCTACATCCCCAGCCATTTTTATTTTCTATTTTGAGACAGGATTATTTCTCCTTTTTGAATTTTGAGACAGGCTCATGCCAAATGGCTCAAGCTAAACTGGAACGTAGATCTTCCTGCCTCAGCCCTTTTAAACTTCTATGGGCCCCAAGGCCTTAATGAGTCTTTTCTTCATAAACACACACACACATTTTTTTATTGTATTGTTATGGTTATTATCTTATTACATTTATTTACCCATTCTGATTTTAAGAGAGACTGTTGTCAGGGATGCTTGAAACGTGTGGGCATGAAGCTCTCTGCTTAATGTTCCTTGGAGGAATCAGTCAGGCTCTGTTGAAAGGGAGAGAAAATTCATTTCTTAGTCGGGTCTTTGCCACAGATGTATCAAAGGGGTTTTGTTCCGTGGTCTCTGAAACCTTTGAGGGCGTAATGCTAGAGTTGAAGCTGGGCAGGATGTAGTTTTTATAATTGTGTTGGCATTGATACCACATTACTTACAATTAAAAATCCATAGATAAAAGGATAAATTATGACTGTAAACTTCTGCAATCTCAAAATCATTATTTACTATTTATTTCAGTCCATTCCACACAAATATGCTTCATGTTTAGGTTATTTTTATTCTAAGACTGCTGAGAACTTTGCACTTCTGAATTTGGAGGTCTTTTGGTTGACCTCACAGGGAAATCTTAGACAAAACAGCCTCAATGAACTTTTTAGATTCCTAGGACCATTATGAAATACAGTTCAGACAAGAAGAGCCTTTTGTTTGTGCTCTGTAGCTCCTTAGTCTCATTTAAAGCCTAGTGAAATAATTTGGATTCTTTGCCTAATTTTACAACATATACTGAAATTATTTACATAAGGGGCTGAGGCAAGCGGATCACACATTCCAGCTCAGTAAAGGCAACTTAGCATGATCCTGACTCAAAATAAAAAATGAAAAATAATCCTGTCTCAAAATAGAAAATAATAATGTCTGGGGATATAGCTCAATGGGTAAGACTCTGAGTTCCATCCCCAGTACTACAGTAATTAACTAAATAAATAAACAAATGTCCTCTTCATTAAACTACTTGGAATGGTTTCCTAGATAAGTAGAAGGAAAGACCTCCCCGTTGCTGTGACACCTCGTGTGTTGCTGTGGAAAGGAGCTTAATAAAAGCCAAGAGTTGAGCACAAGTTCTGAGAGTACAGCAGGCTTTAAAGATGCTGTGAAGGGAACCAGGTTCTGAAAGCCACAGGAATCTTCATCTCTCTGGTTTCCTTAGGAGTTCAGTTGTGATTTCACTAACCTGGGTGAAAAGTGAGTACCTTTTGATTATAAAATATCTCTCAGACCTCAAACACCGCCAGACTGCAGTTGACCAAGCAGATCCGGTCAGTCATGGGGCTTTCCCCTCAACCCCTCGGCTACTCTGTGGAGCCAGAGTGCTATTAGGGACAATGTCACATGCTCACATGGGGCAGGAAGTGGCTTTCTTTTAAAGAGGAGAGATCCAAATGTTTTTCATTCATTTTCCCCCTTAGTATTACAGTCATTGTCCTAGAATTTTTATTTTTTTATGGAGATGTCTTTGTGCCTTCAGGTAGAGCAGCCAGAACTTTATTTTATCGAAGGCCTTCTTCACAGGCTGTCATGACTCACTGGCTGCCAGAGACTAATATTATATTTTTTAAAAATACTACTTGTCATTTCCTGGGTTTCTATTTTTTTTCCTCATTGAGTTTATTGGTACATTTTAGGTATACAGTACAGCTACGTTCATCATTGGGATCTTGTACCTTTACATGACAGGTCCTGGTTCTCATTTTTCCCCCTTGTCCCTGCCCTCCCTTCACCCCTTCCTCCCCTCCCCCTTTACAAACACTTCCTTTCCATTTTTTCATTTTCTCATATTTTTTTCTTTTGCCTTATTAGCTTTCCCCTACCCTTCCCACTTTCCCTACACCCTGTGTTTCTATTAAAGGGAAAGACTGGTTCATTTAAAAATAATTCAAAATTTTAAAAATGATAATCTTTGAAGAAAGGTGGTTTCCTCTGCCCTGGAGAGAGTGAAGGAAGATGACAGATCCAGTATTAGGAAAACATAATATGAAAAAACCTCGAAGTCTGTGTCCCAATTATAATAGCAGAAAATCTTCTTACATATTAACCTTGGTAAAAATATAAAAAATGAAATGGAAATGTATTTGCAGTTTCCCCCAAAATGTAAAGATATGGTTAACGTATTTTACAAAGCGAAATATGCAAGGTTTATTGCATATTTAACTAGAAAGCCAGGTAGTTCTGTATTTGTCACAATTACAGTGTTAAATATTTAGGGAAATCAAGATATCACTCTGTCCTAGTATTTGTGCTCTTACATTCTTGTCAGACTCTGTATTATCATCCATTTGTGACCCACCGCTCCAATATGCTGTTGCCTGCTTCTTACTAAGGTAAGAATAATGAGAGCCCCCTCAGGGTTGTTGTAAGAATTCAATATATATAAATCACTTGCCCTTGTGTGGCACTTGGGAAATGATGGCTGCTTAGTTCTTCCTAGATAATACTAACCAGGATCCAGTTTAATGGTTGCAAACACCTGGGCAAGGTCCAAGGGAACAGTTCAAGAGAGAAGGTTCTAAAAAAAAAATAAAAGAAAGGAAAGAGAGAGAGAAGGTTCTCCAGTCACCTGAAGTTTTTTGGTGGGACCAACGAGAAGTATTTAGGTCAAGGAATGTGCCTTCTACCATGCTCACAGGTTTTGTTTTTCTTGTTAATCTGACCCCCTAGGCTGATACTGTATCACAATACTTACAGCTATACCCTAGCTACCTAGCACCCTCTACCTATCCCAAGGCCCCGAACACATGGAACAGCTACCCACCTAAATCCCTCTGAAATTACAAAATTGTATTGATCCAGGGCCGGGGATATAGCTCAGCAGTGCAGCAGTATTAATCCAACTGGAGTAACAGCAATTTCACTTTACAGTAGGCAGTCAGTTAAAAATAGCATTACAATTAGACTGGTTTTGTATATGGGTTAATTTGCTAGCTCTGTGACCTTGAGAAACGTGTTTGATCTTTCTAAGATTCAGTTTCACATCTGTAAAACTAGGATCACGATGACACCTGCATCATGGAGTTGTGAGGACTAAATGATATAATGTATGTAAAGGATCTAGCAGGCAGCCAACCATTAAAACTTAACAAATACTGTCTTTGCTGTTGTATGTTTTTCTGAGCTCCTACTAAGTAAGCGCTTGATACCTTTTACTAACTACAAGGGCTACAAAAGATGA